TTCCATATGTAAATTGTATGCAAATATTGGAACAACAATGGTTGTCACCTCTGTTTGGTTAGTTTTAGATCTAGTGTATAAGAAAGTGAAACATGTCCATCACTGTTAAAAACCATCCTGCTCTAATCTCAATGTAAAAGTTAGTTCCTCCATTTTTCGAAATGTCTTATGTTCATAATATAATACAAAGTTAGATGCTTTTAACATTGCCTCAATTAGTCATAGACTTTGGTTTTTCTAAAAACAAGTTCATATCTAAACACATTCCAAGCCAGTACAAAATGTAAAAATTCATTGATTGATCTTTTCATTGATCTCACAGTGTAGAAATGTACTTGTTACTGTACATCAGCTCAAATAGTCAAAGAAGAAGAACGTTCCAAAGGAAGAAACTTTTGCATGGATATATACATTATATACAGTGCATCAACATATAACAGCTTTTTAAAAAAATTTTTTTTATAGTGGAATAATTATACATGGTGAACAAAAACCTATATAAAAAGCAATAAAAGTAATTAAAGGCAGTATCACAAACTCTTAATTTAATTTTATCTGATTTTTTATTCGTATTTTGTTCCCTATGCAGAAACAGTAACCGAGTACAGGCGTAAAATGCAATCTTCCCCCAGTCGTATAAGAGTCATATAAGACGAAATGGTTATGTCTTATACATTTTAGCATTTACTTGGAGTTGAAACTCTAGAGAATATGACAATTCATTAAAGTAGATTCTTAAACACAGCTTAATGGCTTTCTTCCATGAAAGTCATATGATTTCTTTATTTATCTTCACATCACTACCTATTCAAACCCCCCCAAAAAAGAAAATCCCTGCAGCATAATTTTTTTTGATGATGTAATCACAGGTTTTATATGTAGTTCAACCACATTTATTTTTATTTTGTACTATATTGTATAGTTCCACCTCTTAGTTAGAGATGCATTTGTACTGTTAATTTTTGCTGAATGTCAACACCTTGATGTCTAAAATAAGTTTTAGACCTGCAATAAACCTTAACATTTAAACAAAAATTTCCCACATTTAGTAAAAATATTCCCTGCTCAAAAATGTAAATCTTAAGTATTTTAGATTGAAAAAACAACTCTTTAGCTAAAGAACTGTAATGCATTAGTAGTTGTTTTGCTTCCTTACATTATCTGCTGAAGAGCTTTTCCAGTTGAGTGTCTAGATTAATGTTTTTTTTTTCAGTTAGCCAAATTACTCAAGTAAAAAGTCCGTAATATTTCAGTTCAACTGCTGATACAAAATATACTCAGCTGATTTTAGAGTAATGCTACAACAATTTTAAAGTTTATCTCAGTTACAACTGCAGTATGTGTTTATGGATATTGAACTGGATCCACAAAGTATCCTTCCAATCCACATCCTCTGATTTATTTATACTATTCTCAGTGATAAACTAACCATGCATGTGTTGTATCTTCTCTCACCTCATCTATATGACAGTACAGAGATAGCAGAGTGCACGGCAGGCCAACGCTTCACAGCTGCCCGCTTTCTAGAGTTTAGAGTTAAACCAAGAGCAAGCACATGTGTTTAATCAGTATATAATGCATGATTTATGTTTACCCACATATTCAAATTATGCACCTTCTCATGTGGTGTAAGATACGTTAGAGATTTTGGTGCCTTTTCTTCTTTTTTTTCTTGATTTCAGCACATCATTGCTTCCATATAATGTGGTTCAGCAGCAGTAATTGCTTTCTCTTCTCAATTGTATCCTAATTTTGAGTCATCACCTGCGGAAGCAGAGGCAATTAACGCTGGCTGAATATTTTAATGCAAACGAGCGTCACCTGAAGCTCAGCAAACATGGAACACCTGGCTAGCAACAACCATCACCAAAGATGTATTCTTGCTTTTCCATCCCTCCAATAACAGCTGCTATAGAAAATAAATACACAAGAAGTAGCCTTTAGGGTCTATAGCAGTTTAATTTATCTCCAAACAGACATAAGAGAGAAGAACAGCAATGACTGGTAGGAAAATTTAAAAGAAAACGTTTTGATGCAATAGCCACAAATCATTCTGTCTGTTTTATATGCTGTGAAACCACCTTAAAATATGTCCCATTTTTATTATGCTACTGTCCATGTGTGTTTAGGAGCTTTGTGTATCTTTCCTTTGTTCCATTAGAGCAAGGATGACAGGTGGCATTTAGACCAAACACCCCACATCCTCCTTTGAGCCAATGTTCACCTGAGTTAACATTAGACCACTTTATGCGCTCGGCACTTGTGTGTTTTGTGGCTGCGGCGACAGCTGCCTCCCCTCTGAAAGTCCTGCGTCCATATACGACAGACCTCAGGTGCTTGCAATCCAGATGAAGTCATCCAGCTATGTGTGCCATCTAATTGACAAGCAGAGGCAATTCTCTGTGGGCTGTCAGCAATACATGCACACACACCTGATGTCTCCTGTTTAGGCCATTACCTCTGGCACAGCTCACAACAGACTCTGCCATGTCTTAAGATTGTGCGAACACAGCTGCAACCTCGTTTCCCAGTTCCCTTCCAAAATAGGTCATGAAATACATGTTGATCTTTTTTGCAATCTATATTTATATAAGTCAAACGCAGTTACACTCTTCTAAGGATATTTAATTTTAATAGAATGGTAGAACTGTTTTTCTTTTTTTTACATAAAGAGCTTTTGAAAACATTGCAGTGCAAACTAAGAGAGCCAGAGTCTTTGCTCCTGGGTATGTTGTGTGTTGTATAAAATTGTTTACATGGTAACAATGTTGACACTAAGGCCATATGCCCCGTTGATTCTGTTATTGAGATGTCAGTCTAATTTCCTGGCCATACGGACAGAGTGTGCAGGGCTTTGGAATTGGTGTGTGCGCTTGCTTGCCTGCCGCAGGCTGCTTCCTGCGGTGTGCTGGCAGACCGTGTGTGTGGTGGGTATGGCAATCCAAATGTCTGCGTAGATCCCTCCATCCTGTCCCCTGTGTCGGTGAACAGGTGGAGCGATGGCAGGCAGGCCAGAGGGCTGAACTGAGAGAACAGGAATGATGGAGGGGGGAAAAAAGAGGTTGAAGAGGACTGGAAAACGAAAGATGAGCAATCAAAGCTGCATAATGAGTTGCAAGCTTGAAAGATGAGTTGGTGGGGGAGTCAAACAGTTTGCAGATAGTACACAAAATCTAAACAAGACTAAGAGTACTGTTTATATGAATATTTGTTCCAAATTTGTCATTTTGAATTTTCAGTAACCCTTGTAAGTCCTTTTTCGATGTTTTTATACCAAGGTTTATAATCATTAGATAGGCTTTCAGAGGCGGCTACTGACAGTTGAGCACTTTCCACCTCAACCTTCTATAAAGTGGGAAGCTATGGCTCAAGGCTATCAAGAGTTCATAGCTGTGAAAAAGATATAAAGAGTGCTATTCAAGCAGAAGCCCTAAAACCATGAAACCACTTTTTAAAAGCTGCTCTCTCCTGACCTGTGACCCATGAGACCCTACTTGTCTATTAATCGTCAATTCTTAAAGCAGTTAGAAAAGTCTGATCCAGTCAAAAAGGAGACAGGACCCGGGCTTCATGGATCTCGTCCAGACAAAGACAGCTTCTGATCCCACGTCCCCCACTAGACCACAACCACGCCCTCTGTTACACTCTCTCCAAACCCCTTATCTGGTGGTCTCTTTCACCATCAATAGCATATTGAGAAGTTGCGTTTAACATTCAAAAGCTTTGCCGATCTTGTTAGTAAAGCGTGAAATGGCTCTGTCCTTTTTTCTTCATGTGCCTGGATTCTTTCTTTAACCCCCCCCCCCATACACACACACACATAGACTACCCTTACACACTGCTTGGTGGGGATCTCAATGAGGGGGCATTCTACTCCCACACAATAGATTTCTTCAGCATTTCTGCTGCTATTGATCTGAATGGGTGAGAGTGAGGGGCTAAACTTTAGACATCTGGTTCTTTGATGGGGGGCAGGGTGGTTGGTGCCCTGGCTGGCAGTATGTGTTATTTGTTACGAAATGGGTTAAAAAGTGTGTGTATTTGGGGGCTGGTTTTTCCATAAAGACTTGAATCTTTAAGCAGGAATCTAAAATGCTAAACTAGTATTTTTGTTTTGTATTCATACTATTTAGTTTTGTGATCTTTAAACTGACAGTATTCCTACTAAAGTTTCACTTTGCAGTTTTCTGATTGCTCAATATTCAGCTCTATAAACCGGCTTATTTTACCCACTGGTAGTAAAAGTTACTTTTGGATTGTGATATTTCTTGTGAAAAGTTTCATTATTAAAGAGCAAGTTTTTATATATATATATATATATATATATATATATATATATATATATATATATATAGGATCTGACCCATAACTGACCTCTTGCTATCTCACTGCAGGCAGTAGAGAGAAGAAGAGCCCTGCCATGCCCGGTTCGCCTGTGGATGCTAAGACTCATTCCAGATCAGCCCCCAGCAGCAGTGCCAGCTCCACAATGCCACCCCTGCCTTCTGTCAACCCCAGTGGCCCTCGTCCGGCCTCATTTTCCACCACAGCATGTAAGAAAACCTTCACACCATCTATACATTTTTTTTTTTTAGTTCACTTCAACAAGGATTGTCATTTCCCCAACAAAATTATGTCAAAACTATCTAGAACCATTCATTGGAGCCTATGTTTACTTTATCTCTCCTTCCCAGTGACCAATGGGAATCATCATTCCCCACCAACACTGAATGCAGTGCCCTCTCCGCCGCAGCGTTACAGTAATGGACCATCCTCCTCTTCATCTTCGTCGTTGGCCAATCAACAGCTGCCAGCCACCTGTGGAGCTCGCCAGCTGAGCAAGCTGAAACGTTTTCTGACCACGCTGCAGCAGTTTGGCAACGACATATCTCCTGAGATTGGAGACAGCGTCAGAAGCCTAGTTCTGGCCCTTGTGGTAAATCCTTTGATGTTGAAGAGGAGGGGAAAGGGGAGCGTTTTGTAGAAATTCATCTGTTCACTACTCTCATATGCTTCTCTTTGCCTTTTTTACACAGAACTCAACAGTAACAATTGAAGAGTTTCATTCACGGCTTCAGGAGGCCACTAACTTCCCCTTGAGGCCTTTTGTTATTCCTTTTCTCAAGGTAAATATACCTTATCACAAATGACTTTTCTTTTGGGTTATTTCCAGGTTTTTTTTGTTTTGTTTTTTTGAAGTAACACAGTCAGCCTATTTTACCCCATTCTGAAAAATTAAGAAACACAGCAAATCCTAATTTAAAGTTCATTTTTTTCTAGACATGAGAAAAAAATCCCTTTAGAAGATGTATCTTTTGTGTAGCCTTGATGGCTTAATATTATTTCTTTGAAATGGCTAAAAGCGCCAATCAGAGCTTCCACTTTGACTTGACAAGTAGCAGATGACGTCTTGTTAAACAGCCTCTCGGGGGTCTTTGTACCAACTATGTTTGCAACAGTACACCTTTAAAGAGCTCTCATCTGCAAAGCAGGCCATAAATCCTCAGTCGGTTGTAGCACTATTCTTTAAACACTTAAAATCTCTTCCTCCGCACTTATTTCTTACTCACCTTTGAAGCCCCTCCATTTGTCTTCTTGAGAGGAGAATTCTCTGTTCACTGCCGTCCACTAATTTATTACATTGTATTTGGATCCCCCTGAACTTTAATCCAAACTGTTTTAGGGTTTAGAAAGAGATGGGACAGATAGGACAAATTCTGTAAGCACATGGAAAAGAAGAGAAGGGGGGTGGAGTGGGAATTGGGAAGTGTGAAACATGCCTATAAAGTGTTCCCGTCTGTTTTTATGGTGTACAGTGTGCCATATGCAGCTGCTGTCCCTATTTTAAAAGAGCATTCAGCTTTTAAGGCGCCTCCAAACTAGCATCCGCCTCACTGAACCCCTGAGAGCCCCTACATGCCGCACATGTGTCTGCTAGCTGGGGGCCTCAGGGGAAGATGTAGATGAGCCTGAGAGATAGGCACATGGGTGTTTCAGAGCATCTTTTAGGATAATGGTGCAGAAGATCAAACTTAAGCTTACAAAGCCCTCAAACAAAATGTCATATTTAAACAGAAAAAAGTGCAGTTTAAAAAAATCTTTAAATACCGTTTGGCAGTGCTCTGTGATACTCTGAGGTCAGTCATAAAATGAGAAGGCAATGGTTATTTATTTGGTTGCTCAAGAAGAGGGAGCAGTGGGGGTGAGGAAGTAGTGTAATTGCAAACACACTGGAGTCTGTTCCCAATTAGGGAAATACAGGGAACAAAAGCAAGATGGAAAGATTCAGCAGAGAGACATGGATAAATATGTACATATGGATGTAAAACCAGACGGTGCAAGAGAGGACAGAGAAGTGGAGCTTTTGCTTCTTTTATTTTGAAAAGGTTCTGAAGCCATAGTACGGTCATACATACTTCTACTGCAACCAACACACACAAAGCGTGCTTAGCCCGCTGTGTGGGAGGTTAACAATCATCATCCGTGGTAGCACTGCCATTTTTTATTTGAATCAGGAAAACCACAGCCACTATGGAGGCAGCCACAGCAACAACACCCAAAGCCAGCCTTGTATCAGAAACTTAAGATGTCAAGCTCCCTGTTTTTGCTTTCTTTGGTGCCTGATCTGTATGAAAATCTTAGGCCAAATTTATGTCATCTGGCTCTGTAAACGTATACATTGTTTTTATTTTAGTTACCAGCTCTATATATTTTTACTATATACAATTCTGCTGCAGAGCTGCAAAAACAATCTAACTACTGGTATACTATGGGAGACCTGGCCTGTTTTAAAACAGCAACATTGTCATCTTTACTTTGCATTTTTTTTTAAAGTAGTTACCCTAAATTAAGCTTTAATTTTAAGAGCTATGGTCAATGGTCTACATGAAGTAATTTGGAACAATATTATTCCTTATTTTATAGGCAAACCTTCCCCTGCTGCAAAGAGAGCTGCTCCACTGTGCACGAGCAGCCAAGCAGACCCCAGCGCAGTACTTGTCTCAGCATGAGCACCTCCTGCTGAGCACCACCATGACTTCCTCTCCAGACTCCTCCGAGTTGCTGATGGAACCTCCTGAGACAGCAACTAAACGACACAGCCCCAGCAGGTTAGATGACTTTGGCAGGCATTCTTTTCAAAGTAAACACAACCCACAGTAAGTTTGTTGAAATAAGTGTTCACTTAAGAACTACTTTCTTGTGTTTAGAGTGAAAGAAAACGGCTTCCACGAACGTCCTTCAGTAGCAATGGAGCCTGCAGCAAAACGAATTTGCACCATCAGCCCTGCTCCTCGCCACAGCCCCGCCCACCCGCTCCCCATCGCCGCCCAGCTTCACCCAACTCCTCCACCCTTGCAGCACTACGCCCTGGATGATATAGCAGCTCCACACCTCTTGCACCGAGAGCACAGCCAACGTGTGTTGGAGATCCGTGAACTTAAGGACAGGCCCAGACTCCCTGGTAGGTGACAGACATCTCTAAGAGATGAGTCAAATGCAAAATTCGCAGCAGCAAAAAAGTCTTTTACATAAACAGTACTCTACACACTCATTTACTGACTTGTTTACTGCAGATTTTAAATGTAATAGATGCAGGTGTGTGTATGTATGTATGTATGTATGTGTATATGTATAAATATATACAATTTTTAGCTGGTTTTGCTAATGTCAGTACAGCAACTCGGCCATGTTGTTCCTGATGTCATTCCCACATCTGGAGGCAGACTAATGGTGCGTCCCATTATCCTTGGAACTTGAAGTTAACGAGTTGGAGTGATGTAACCTCCGATGTTAATGCGTTCCAGTGTTCAGTTTGTAGACCCTTGTATTCTCCACGGTCACTATGACCACTGCTCGAATAACAATGACAAAAACTCTGCTCTACATTATATTCTGCACATATACTCAACTATAAAACCTATCTTTCTATTAACGCAAATAGTGCCTGAGCAACTGACCTAATAAAACAAATATAATAAGGAACTTCCAAAAATGGTCAGTGTATGAAAATGTAAATACCGTTGGTGAGAGTAGCATCAATCTCAAATTAGGAAGTAAGGTACCATCCTGTTTTGCTGACTTTCTGAATAGTATTTCCAACTTTAAACTTAAAATTTGCAACTTGGAAGTTGTAAATTTAGACCTCTGAGAGCAAATGGAACCCACCAAAGCACTACTATTGGTGTTTGTACCAGTTGCTTTAAGGACACATTATTTTGAGTTGTGTCTTAAATAACTTCAAAAGTTTCAGCTTGTTTTCAACTTTCAACTCCTGTTGCATATATCTAACCTGACAGCTGTTGTCAGGTTAGCATATATCCATAATTATAACAATAAAAATCTAGAAATCTGACTAGACAAATTTCCTTTTATATAGATAAAAGTTATTAATAGCTATTAAAAGCCCAAAGCAGCTTTGCATTTATATGCAATCAAAATAGAAATCACTGAAGTTACAGGAACATTTAAAAATTGTTCCTGGAAAGTACTTTCTTTTCAAAACATTTGAACCATTAGGTGACATTACATGCCCAATGAGAGCACAATGAAAACTAAAGTAAATACATGTTACTGCTTGGGTTTTATTTTATTTCCAGACAAGGTTTTAATAAATGCATTAGAAATATAAATGAAAGATATCATTGATACACTTCCTGACTTTTTCTACAAGTGTTTTACCTTCACAAATGCTCTTTTACATATGTTACCAAATCACAAAAAAATAAAATGTATATATATTCTATCCTAATAAATCCCTTCCATAATCAGAACGATGTTGGAAACAGCCGTACTTTGAGTTTCAAAATTCACCACAAAAACAGACGCATACATATCATATTTTAATCTGTATGCAAGAATGGGTGGTCTGTGTGTTTGTTTAAAATCTTGGTATATCTCTGGGGTCCAGAAATGTGTATAAACAGAGCTGTACTGTCCAGGCAGGGGGAGTTCTGTTCTACTCTGGTGTATATCTGCCCCTCCATTTGAGGCTTGTCAGCACTTAGTGGAAACAGCAGTAGCTCACACATACACACACATATACGTGCAAGTATACGTACACACCTAGATGTGTTCAGGGTAGAGGTGCTGTGTTTACGAGGCCTTTAGTCTGTCCGACAGCCTCCCACCCGCCTGCCGCCACAAGCGCACACACACAAGGATAAACACATCAGTCCCCCCCAGTCGTAGCTTTGAACTGATGAACGCTGATGAGATCCAGAAGTCGAGAAGATTTTTGGGAAGGCAGAAGCATGTGTGTATGTGTGCGAGAAGCTGTGCACTCATCGTTCTTCTTGCTGCCCTTCTTTTTTTAACTCAGATTGAAGAGATGGCAGTTCCCATCTTTGTTCTTCATGTGAGTTTTAAATGCAGTTCCTATGTATGTAGCCATTGGTTCAAGATGTTGTTTGGTTTCTGCGTGAGCTCTACCCAATGTGTGCAAACTGTTATTTCTCTTCTTTCTAATTAGGTATTGCCTAAGTCGGGCAATGATGGGAATCACATAGCTGTGTGTATGTGGGACGCAGGGATCCGTAGCGAGTGTCAGAGCGGCTGGTTGTGTTTAGGAGTGGAGCCACTCCACTCAGCCTTAGTGTCTCCCTGCTGGAATGCTGTGAGCAGTAGGAGGGGAGGTGCTGTGGGGGTACTGAGTGTGTCAGTTTGTGTGTGCGGTTGACAGCTGACTTCCAGATGTGTGCAGGCTCTGCGTGCTAGGAGTCTGTTTTGCATCATAGGTTTTCCCTTTCACTCCACCTCTGCTGCTCACTATCCCATGCCTACTTTTTAGTTTTATTTCCCAAAGCTGTATCCTCACATCAATGCCGTCAGACTGCCTTTTGATTTTTAAACATGTTTTGGTTTTTGACTACAGTTCATACAGGGATATTTTGTGCTCTTGTTCATGATGAACAAATAATCTAAACATTTACATTTTTTGTGATCTTCCATATCTATTGCTCACTCATTGTCACTTGTGGCTAATCCCTCATTCAAAGGAATGCTAATCACATCAGACTGCTATCTGTCTTGTGTGTGTTCTAATCAGGGACTAACGGGGGCTACCGTGAGGAGCCAGTGGACCACAGACTGACAGACAGAGAGTGGGCTGATGAATGGAGGCATCTGGATCATGTAAGTCTGCAGGCAGGCACCACTGCTGCTAATGGTTTGTGATACAAAAGGAACATAATTTGTTTTACTAAGGTCCTGAGAAGAAATGTTTTACTTTTCCCAGCTTTGACAGTAAAGATAAATAAGTGTGACATTCCCCGACAGACATAAATGCTATAAATCAAATTTTCAGTAAGGCTGATGATTTTTTTAAGTTTAAAGCATTTCTTAGTTATACACCTTAATTGTTGAAGATCATCTTTTTCATCATTCAGACATCCTTTAATAACACCCAGTTAGCACCCAAATAAAGTATATTTTGAGACCCAATGGTAAAGTGGTTAAAGTCTTGTGACCCATGGAACCTGGGTTTGACCCTGGTTGTGTCACGGAGGGTATTCCGCTTAAAAAACTTTACACACAGGCACAAACCGCATAATATGAACTAAAACATGAAATTAAAACATTTTCATGTCCAATCACTGCATGATTTGATACTGTATTATGCTTTTATATCGCTACTAAAACGTTGATCATTCTGAGTTGTAAGAATTACCAGGAAGGCCCTGTGAGCTCGAAGTTGGAAATGAAAAAAGCTAGAGGTTTTTTGTCCAAATTAAAAAAGAAATTCTGTTATAGCTGCCTTAGTGAAAGCTGTGGTACTGGAAAGCATTTTACTGGATGTCCTCTAAATTGTATCCACTACACTGCTGTTTTGAAGGAAAAATCAGACTAAGCAAATTTTAGCTTTTCTCCTCATTTGCTATTGTTTCACATTCACACTACATTCAGTTTCTTTTCCTATTTATATTTACAAATAAACAATGTTAAACCTTTTTCAGAGTACAGCCAAATGCCCTTCATAAGCAGCCATGTCTGAATGTCTGTTTCTCCAGATCATCTTTGATATAAAATAATTTCTCTGCAATGTGACAAGGAATTGAAATTCACCTTTTTTGTCCATCATGGACGGCAAAGGAATAGAAGAAAAATACCTGTAATGTCAATGACTTGTAGCAGGGGTCTTTAGTCTGGTCCTAGGGACCCCTTTGTCCTTCATACTTTCCCTACTTCACACACCTTGCTTTGATAAATGGGTGAAAACAGGCTTCTGCGACCTTTTATGGCTGCTGAGGAGGGAATGCAATCACTTTATTCGTGTGTAAAGAGGCAGGGACGTATCTTTAGTGTGCAGGACACAGAGTTCTGAGGGACAGGGCTAAAGAACCCTGACTTATAGTGTAGCTACAAACATTTTCACAGCTTTTAAATCACCTACTTTCAATACTATTAGTCAAATAACAGACTAGTAAAGCATCTTTTTTGTTGGTATGCCCTGATGTTCTGTTGAACGACAGGTCAGTTAGGTTCTGAATTTCCATATTGTATTGTTGTCATTGCTATAAAGATTTGGGGCTGGCATTTATTTAAAAAATTCTTAAATATCCAGGTGCTGAACTGTATAGTGGACATGGTGGAAAAAACACGGAGGTCGGTAAGCGTGCTGAGGCGCTGCCAGGAGTCGGATCGAGAGGAGCTAAACTACTGGAGACGACGTTCAAGTGAGCAGGAAGACCCTCGGAAAGGAGGCTCGGGTTCTGCTCCTTTTTCCAAAACACACAGCCCTCTCTCTGCGGAGTTGGGTGAGTTCCTAAGAGTACTGTAATTTCAGCTAAGCTGTATCAGCATGAGTCATTTGTTGTCCTTTAATGATTATTGCCAACTACTGTTTACAAACTTTTATCTTTCCCATGATGTAATAAGTCTGTTCATTTCAACCTTTGCACTCTAGTGTAAGGCATGGGTTTTTCTCAGGTCTGTTTTGGGGAATTTCCTTAGAAATCTTTTTTATACTTGGAAATTGAAAATAATATGCCAAAGCTCACTACAAGTTTTAATTAAATCTACAAATGTGAATTGACGGTTCCTGTACAAAGAATGAACAGGAATATTGTTTGAGTAAAATGAAGAAATTATGCAAACTGACATTTACCAATGATTTTTCACAAACTTCTAAACACCTTTAGAATACCATGATACTTTTTTTTGACATCCAAAATTAACTATAACCTTTACTCAGGTTCTGGTCAATTTCTGAATTATGTCTATACAGCATCTAGTGGCCATAAATAGAATTACACTCATGAATTTACATGTCAGTGTGAGTCCTTCCACAGTTAGTCCCCCAGTCTGCTGTGTACTGGCAGTGTTCTCTCTGTGTGCCAGCCTTGCCATCCCCCTGCTGCTCCATAGTCACAAACAGGTGCCAGGACTGGCCTCGGCCATATCGGCCACAGAAGGGCTGTCCTGCCGTCCTGCAGGCTCAGAGACCCAGAGCTGGCTGACTCGCCAGCGCACCATCTGGGCCCACAGCCGGAGAGCCTGCCTGCTCGCCTGGGCTCTGGGCTGCAGTAGTGGGGGTTTATAAGAGGCTTGTTGAAAGAGAGGGGAGGAGAATCAAAGGAAAGGGTAGATCAGATAGAAGTATGGGAAAAAGTAACCAGAAAAATCAGGGGAAGAGGAAATTTGCCAGTCAGCAAAGCAGGCGAGGCAGAAGTGCGCTGAGATATGGGGTAGAAATCTGAGAGAACAGTCTGATTATTGACACAGCCTGTCGGACTGCTTTTTCCTCCAAGCCAAACACATTCCTTTCTAAAGCTGTCAGATCGTTGATCAGTCCAAGAATCTGACAACCGACAACTATATTGGCTGTGTGTCTTACATATGCAGACATGTTTGCATCGGTGACCAATTAATGACATCAAGAAAATGAAGCCTTCAGTATTCAGCTGGTTTTTCTTTCTACACACCTGTCATAGTGATTCAGCTGTCAGTCTAACGTGTTATCCTAACTGAAAGTATTTTTTATTTTCTTTTTTTTAACCCTGAAAAATACTTATCTGCTTTTTTTCCAACTTTTTTACAGACTCCCAGCGGGAATTTGGTCAACGGACAGGTTCAGCATATGTTACCGATGAGATCTGGAGGAAAGCTGGTAAAAATTTCCCTTTGCAGACAGAGATGACTGCTTTCAGATGATATTTCTAGTGAGGTAAACTCTAAACGTTTGTTTTCCTTGACGTACAGAGGAGGCTGTGAACGAAGTGAAGCGTCAGGCCATGGATGAGGTTCAGAAAGCAGTGGCCGAGGCTGAGCAGAAAGCTTTTGAGATGATTGCTGCAGAGAGAGCCAAAATGGAGAAAACTCTGGCTGAGGCAAAGAGGAAGGCTCAAGAGGACGCCATCCTGGTCATCAACGAGCAGGAGGATTCAAGTGAGGTGAGCAGAGATCCAACTTCAAATCCAAATCAAAATATCCTGCTGTAGAGATTATTCCCTCAGAAAGGTTGATTTTAATATCACACACTGGGCTTACATGATTACAGAACAGCTACTGCAAATATCGCTAGCACTAAAATATGGTATGCAAAAGTAGATCATTATACCATTTGGCTTAAAATTATTTATGCCACTAGATTTATTGGTATTATATAAATCGATCTGTTCTTATGATGGCTGATCCTGTTTATTTTTAATCCCTGTTGGAAAATATCATCATTTAATTATTATCTTTGTTGATGAGCTCCAAGTCTTTCTTGTTGGTATGCCCTCTCGCCAACACAGCAATCTTTAGTTGTCCCTACCTTTCCTAATACTGGGATGGCAGGGTTAGACTTTTATTTCCAACGCCTCAAATACACACCTTTAAACGATGGGATGACATTTAATAAGGAATATATATGTGTGCATTCAAAGGGGTCTTTTATGTTAGGGAGTTGGTTGGTGACCTATCAGTTGCTTAAAAGGGAATCTTTCCAATGTAATGGCTGATATTGTCATATCTTTGATTAGGGAAAAAGTGAATTTTGGGGATGATATAATTATTTATGAATTTGGCACTTCTATTTGCTAATGTAACTTGTTTTTTTGTTATATCGATGAAAAAATAACATGAGAGCAAAAACTGCTTTTGGTAACGAGAGTAGACGGGTTGTGTTTGTTTCTTTTTCTCATGATAAAGCTTCCAGCTTGATTTGAAAGTCTTGACAGCCTATCTATTTTGTTTTTTTTATTTTCAGTGTTGCTGGAATTGTGGCCGTAAAGCTAGCGAGACGTGCAGCGGCTGCAATGCAGCCCGTTACTGTGGCTCATTCTGCCAGCACAAAGACTGGGAAAGGCATCATCTCATCTGCAGCCCCGGACTTCAAGCTCAGCCTAAAGCAGCCTCTGCCATCGCTGCGAACAGGGTAGCAACCGTGACCACGGTGACTGCAGCTGTAATGTCTCCAGCTGGGGTCAAAGCTTCCGATGGTGTGCCGTCAGCCTCCAGTCCGGGCGGAGAGAAGGGCTCAATTGCTTCTCGCTCCTCCACTCCCTCCACCCCTGCCTCAGCACCTGAGAGTAATGGACATTGAAGATGCAGAGGACTTTAGAGCTTAACACGACGTCTGTCCTTTCTTGTTGTTCAGGAAGAGTTGAATCGGCAGCATGAGGAAACTATTTGTGGGTTGAGTAAGGATAACAGATTTTTTCATCATACTTTGGCAGATGAATAAAGACAAACTAAAGATGACTGTTGTGAGTGATGTGTCAACTGAGACTCTGGCTTTGGCGAAGAACAAAGAGACTTGTTTAGTATGCATCCATTGGATGAACAGATCACCATAACAGATGAAAACGTCTTTCTGGTCCAAAACCTCAAAACCAGGATCGATGCAGAGGAAAAAAAAAAAACAAAACAAAAAAACGACTGACGATTGATCACAAGGAAAGGATTTTTCACTGAAGGCATATAGCTTTCCGACCCACTAAACAATGTCACTGTTGTTTCTGTGTACAAAATTGAGATTAGGAGGTATTTTGGGTAAAAGTAAACTGTGTAATAGTACCAACCCTGAAGCATCTGTTTTTGTTGTTTAGGAAAGAAAATCTAACAGCAGGCCACCTGAGTGAGATCACTGCAGCTCTTCTCTAAATAAATATTTGCTCACCGACTTTTTTATAAGTGTGACTGACTGAGACGTCGTGTTGTCAGTGAATATTGTAAAGAATATGATTATTTTTGTTAAAACAATATTAATATGAAGTGTTCAGGTATTTCGAGCTGTTTCTTCATCACCAAAGTTTTCTGATCCTACAGAAATTTATATTCATGGTCTGCAGGTCTCTTTTAGGAAACTAAGATCCTCAGAGTTTAACTGTAATTTCTCTTCAGTCTTTACCATTCCTGGTCTATTTTGGTATCTGTTTATGTCATCAGGTTGACATGTTATTTCAAAATCTTTCATCGCTGCATCTGAAGATAAGGAAAAAATGTTTTACTAAGCCTTGCTATGAATTAAATACAAAGAGGAAAATGTCACTGATTTGTATCGGTAATCATTCAGTCTCAGAAAATCTCAGGAGCTTAGCAGCATTTGTGTACAAAAATCATCCATATGTTATTACAGTTAGACTTAATTCTAGTGATGAGCTTTGATTTATCCTACTCTGCTGTTACACCTGAAATGTTTTTGTTTGTTGTAAGATGACTTTGTAAAGAAGATTATGAGAGAAACCCTTTATTTTGAGCCACAGTTCCCCCCTTCTTCATTCTATGAACATGTTTTCTTGTTATGATGCATAACTTCATATGAAAAACGTATCTTGACATGAAGTATGGAATAAAGAAGTAAAGCTACTTCAAAAATGCTTTAACTACTCTGTATTTTAACCTAATAACTTTATAACATGGCCCAAAAATATACACTTTTTTTTTTAACCCTAAGTTTATGTAACATAAATCCCTTTATTGTCAAACAATTTGGAAATTCAGTCTCTGCCTGTTTTTTGGCGCCCGGGGAGCAGTGTGGGGTTTAGGGTTTTGCTCAGGAACCCAGAGTGCAGGCTGTTGGGATCGAACCGGGTCCTTGAAACCTTCTCAGACCAGTTTAATGACAATCAGCCTTGCTGTTTGTTGTTGTTGCTTTTAAGGCACTAGTGGCTAAATTTTTTTACACAGTGGGCTGACAGGAAAGGGGTTATGAGAGAGAGGGAGAGACATGCGGCAAAGGACCACAGGTAGGATTCAAACCCGGATCGGCCTTGTCGAAGACCAAGGCCTCTGTACATGGGTTGCCACAGACGCAGTTGTTAATTTTTCAAAAAGGATAAAAGGGTAAGGGATATTTTTACCTGTAAACCCCCCCCCCCCCCAAAAAATGATTCTTCTCTGACTTATAAAAGTTAAAAAAGTCTCTTATATTTTTGCCACCTTTTAAAAAAAGGAAAGACCAGAGAACACACCGTACAAATAAAATGGAGCTATATATTTCCTAATTAGTTAAAAACCATCATTAAGAATGCAATGACTCACAAAGTCCCTTTCATAAATATTTTCAAAACAGTGAGTGAAAAGGGTAAAAAAAAAAAAACATCTGATCTACTGCACTTGGTACAAGGACCAGCAACGGCCATAGAAATGAATTGAAACTGACAACAGTAAAGTAAGTAATAAGCATCCATCAATTTCCATCACGTTTTATTCCTGCTGGGGTCACGAGGGGTGCTAGTGCCTATCACCAGTTGTTAATGGGCAAAAGGCACAGTAAACGTTGGACAGGTCGCCAGTTTATCACAGGGCAACACAGAGACAAACCACCTTTCTTACACACACATCTAAGGAGACTTTAATGGGTATATTTTTCAAATGTGGGAGGAAGCCGAGGTACCTGGAGGGAACCCATGCATGCAAAGATAGAACATGCAAACTCAAGCAGAAAGACCCCGGGACAGGAATGGAACCCAGAACCTTCTTGCTGCAAGGTAACAGTGCTACCCACTGTGCTATGAAAATGAACAAATAGGTGTCAGGTATAACTTTTCAATCTTCATCAGAATGATTTTTAAAAATAAACCAGTGAAACGGGACTGGACAGAAATGATGGTGCCTTCTCCTGCAATCACTGTATCAAAAGGTTTTATTTTTGGATGAAATTCATATTTATACAGACTGGTCTTGTTTTACACTTTCTTTCATATTCCTGCAGGGACATGATTTAAAGTATTGTGTGTCTCATTGTAACAGGAACTGCACAGCACAGGGGAGGAAAAAACCTAAAGTACCATTAGGAGGAGTGGTGGCCTAGTGGTTAGGGCATTGCGCTTGGAATCCAAAAGGTTCTCAGTTCAAGCCCCACTTCCACAGACTGCCACTCTGGATCGCTGAGCAAAGACCCTTAAATCCACACTGCCCCCCGGGCACCCCAGTCCACTGTTCCCCAAAGGGGTGGTTTAAAATGCAGGGGTAAATTTCTTCAGTGTAAGATCAATAAAGTTAAATTATGGATGGTCAGAAAGGGACAAGTGATTGTGTATTCTGCACAAATCCAGAAAACCATTGGACAATTGCCTCATATCCCAGCCAGGCAAAGTACTGTTTTTCCTCCTTCAGACCTAATCCCGAACCCAAGAAGAGAATTTTTCCTCACAGGGACCAGTTGACATTGTCCCCACAATGTAATTAATGCTTTGGTACCCTCATGGGCTCCATGCTGACAATAGAGCAACCACCACTTTCTTTCTGCTTTGGCACAAGCTGCATTTTATATACATTAAATATTGCATTGCTACATTTCAATAACTACATTTTTGGATGTTTTGTGTCTTCCACACATGCTCTGATTTTTTTTATCTGCGAGTTTCTTTTCCCAGTTTCTCAAAAAAAGACTGAGTCTGTAGGTATTTCTACTTTCACAGGAGGTCTTCTGAGGCAATAGTTTTAACAAAAAAAACAAAACAAAAAAACATTCAGTTTTATATTTTCAATAAAGATCATTTTTGATTGATTCTTCATATTTGCAAAAGATAAAAAAAACACAAGAATGAAAAGAAGAATCTAAAAACTAAAAACTTTACAATAATTATGTTTCAGAGAGAAAAGAATAACGTTCATATTCTAAAGTCTTCTATGGAGAACAACTGACATTTTAAAATCATTGCATCTTTTAGGCTGTATGCAACAATGTCAGTGAATTTTCATTGCTATAAATAATTAAGGTAATCTGAATCAGTAATACAAGATACACTTTTGAATTGCATCCGGAAGAAGCGAGGCCACTCATTGCAAAGCGTAGTTGTCTCAAAGTGGGTTAAGATCACTTTCTAGCAAACATACCTCCAGTTAAAATGTAATGGATCTTGATGAATATTACTATAGCCCAATTAAACTGGTTAGAGGATTTGCTGTTATTGTATGGAAGGAAAATGTATTTTAATAACTTACCACAGGGTGGCAGTATAGGCTACGTCTTTAAGATGAAGGGAGCATCAACAGACTAGGAAAATTCAAAATTAAATGATCAAATAAATACATTTCTCTTCAATAATTGTGAAGCAGAAAAAAATGCAAAACCACTCATTTCAACATTTTGATACAGAAGACTCTGAAGTGCAAAAAGGAAGAAAAATGTCTAATGTGTTCAACAACATCTGGATTTCTTTATATTTCTTAACGATTATATGAAGCAATGCCTCAGAATTATTTTGTGCATAGATTACAGCCACAAACACAATTTGACTGAAAGGACATAACGCAACTGCTCTTTAAAGAGAAAATTGCATAGATGGAAATGTACATTTTTGGACCAGTAATAATATCAAAACATGCCACCTTTCAAGGACTGAAATGGATTTTTAATTTTTTGAAAAAATAAATAAATAAAAATAAATAAATAAATAATCCTACAAATTACATCCTTAAATTATTTTAATGGTATACATCTCACATTGCCGTCTTTTCCAACAGAAACTTAAATGTTGCATCACAGGTTAAAACTTGTCCTTCAGAATAATTTTTCTTTTTGATCTCCAATTCTTTTTCTCCAGACTTATGGGCCCACACTATGAAAGGATAATAACCTTTGAATAATAATAGAGCTTCAGGATGTAGAAGCAAAGGTAAACTCACTGGATTCTAAAACGTTCCAACCAGAACAAAAGTACTCCCACAGTCCCATCACTGCTGGCACTGTGGGGGTAGAAGGACTTAAAAGTAATTTCAGAAACAAATGATTTTTTTTGCAGTGGAGCACTAATAACTATTATATGTTGGAAAAGAAAAACAGTGACAGAGTTGTCCGTGATCATTTTTTTTTTTATTATTGTTTTTTACTGCTAATCTGCTGAGGGAGGAGTTCCCAAGCTGGGCTTCCTATTAGCCTGGATTGCAACAATCTAATAGTCTCCTTTGCCTAAAAGCATATGTTAGATATAAACTAAGCACCTGGTAGTTCCACCCTGTGCTGTTAATCAAACTCTCCTTTGTGTACTTTGTTGAATTATTCCTTTTAAATTAACTGCCTGTTATTTCAATCCTTATTTTGTGGAAATACTTCGAATGATGATCCCTCACTGTTATGGCTGTAGAGAGCTTTGAGCCATATGCAGAATTGGACTCAGATCTCTAAGAGGAAATAGTTTTCTTTTTGACAGCATGAGAAAACAACACAAGGGATTTTAGAGATTTGGTTAACAGTTTCTTTACCAACTGGAAAGAAAGGAACTGTTAGACCATGAAGGAAATCATAAATACAGTAGTTGATTGATGAATTACAGAAACTGGGAACTTAAAAACTGATCCTTGAAGGCATCTCACAATCCAGGAGGGAATTGAAATGAATTGACTCTGGCTGAGCACTATAAGTAGATTTAAAGTCGGAGGGAAATGATATTTAAATGTGAAATCATTCTGGCTTAAACATGTATATAAATGTACTCTTTATCAGATATTGCCCCAAAATTATTCTAAAAAAAAAAAAAATTCTGTCTTAAAATCTCCAAAATTCCACCTCTGTTAAGCCAAAGGCCTTGAGCAGCTGTCACTAAGGTAAAGAGAGCAGAACTATATCAAATACAAAAATAACAGGGTGAAATATACTTATTTTAGGATACAGTGTCATTCAGTTAATGTTAAACCTAAAACAGTCCCCTTAAGATGACGTGTTGTGAATTGGTGCTTTATAAATAGCTGAATTGGATTGAAATGAAATATTTATAGCAGTGAAACAGTATAAAAGATTTTCTTCTGTTTCCTCTCACTCTTCCCTGTCTTTCATTATCTCCTATTTTATAATGTATTTTCAGTGTTCCTACCTTGTGACTAAGAATGAGTAATTTAAAGAGAGAAAATTGTATTGTTGTTTGTAAATTTATTTTTGTTATATCTTGTGTATTCTTAGTCTTATTTGTTCTGGGATGGCAAGTAATTGATACATGGTTTGAGTAATCCCTTGCCCACACAGTATAAAAATGTTTTCCTAAAAATATATAAAAATGGTTATTTATACGTGTCTGATGATGAGGTTAAGTGACAGAAAAAGAAAAGCATTTAAAAGGGGTGAAACCATCAACTGTCAAAAACAAACTTACTAATGAGCTTCTTTTAATCTATCAAACTTTGTGTTGATGAAACACAGAAGTTCTGCCTCAGGAGTTGGCAGTTACTGAAGAAGAAAAATTGCATGAGGTCTAATCAGTTAGGTTAAGGCTGATAAAGGTGTGGAAAAGGTGTGCAAGAAAAAAATAACTTTACAGAGTTTTGTCTAACACATATTTTAAAATAGTTACCTCAAATGAAGTCAATTATGTGTGTAGATTAAAATATCTGCAGGGTGAACCTGTTTGCACATTTAAGAGTTCACAGTAAAGT